CTACAGGGTCTCGCTGGCCGAGAAAGGTGGGGCGCCTCACTGACGGGGACCCTCGGGAGGCCCAGCTAGTTTGGTGCCTGGAAGAGGCCTCTTCCTGAGGGACTTGCACTTTCAAGAAGAATCTGGAGAGGGCAATAACTACACCATGAGGGTGTCCCCTTACACCCTGAGGGTGTCCCCTTAAACCCTGAGGGTGTCCCCTGGGCTCCCTGGCAGCATGGGTAAAATTATAGGGGAGATGGGCCTGGTTGGTGTTTGTCAAGTCACACAATGGATCCGGGTTAGATCCCAGATGTCCAAGGATCACCAAGGGGTTGGAGGCGGAGAAGGAGGCCCAGTGGCTGAGGACTGGAGGGTGGGGCGGAAGGGGCTTTGAACCTGGCTGTGCCTAGGACCAGCTCTCCCCACAGCTGACCCTGTTCTGCTGCTGCCCAACAGTGATCCCGGCCGCCGACCTCTCTGAGCAGATCTCCACTGCGGGCACTGAGGCCTCAGGCACTGGCAACATGAAGTTCATGCTCAACGGGGCTCTGACCATTGGCACCATGGACGGGGCCAATGTGGAGATGGCAGAAGAGGCGGGAGAGGAGAACTTCTTTATCTTCGGCATGCGGGAGGAGGACGTGGCCAAGCTCGACCAGAGGGGGTATGGGGGCAAAAGTCCTTACTTAAGAGTCTGTGGGCAGGAGGCACCGAGGTGTGGCTGCTGGAGGGTAGGGCTGGGAGCAAAGGGCATGGAGAGGCCAGTGCAGGCTGCCCAAGGTCGTAGTTATGCCATCAGAATTCTGGAAAACTGTTGAGGTAACTTACCAAAGAAAAGGTTAATGAAACAGGAAAAGAAAGAGTAATGCAGAACGGAAGGAAAAGGAAGAGGAAATTATATCAATCCTAAGAGATAATATTACCCTGGAATTGGAAGTAAACTAAATTCTTAGTTCCCTGGCAGCCATGGCAGAAAGGGAAATCTATAATAATAAAAGCGTAATATGCTAAGTAGAACGGATGACCTTCCGGATGAAGGCGGGGCTGAGAGGGAAGCCGGTGCCGCAGCCAGGGGGAGGAAGGCGGCTCTTGCACAGATTTCGTGCGCTGGGCCTCTAGGAAGAACATAAACGTTAACTGTGCATATGGCCGGAAGATAGGTCTTTAGAGGAGACATTTCCCTGGCGTTATCTTTTCAAAATTTATTTTTAAATATGATTTTTTTCTTATAAAAGCAATAATGGAAAAATACAAGACCACAAAAAACAAAATAACTGTCACCCATAATTTCATCACCTAGATTTAAAGTCACAGTTCTCTTTTTCTATGCACTCTGGTATTTATATGTGTGTGTGTATGTGTAGGGGCTTTTTTGTTTTATTTTTCTTTCTTTTGTATGTGTAATTTTTGAAAGTTAGGAATAACATATATATGTAATTTTGAACCCTGATATCTTATTTAACGGTGGAAAGGCATTTTCCATGTCATTAAATAGTCTTCAAAAATATTTTATTTTATTTTTATTATTATTTAAAAATATATATTTTATTGATTTTTTACAGAAAGGAAGGGACAGGGATAGAGAGTTAGAAACATTGATGAGAGAGAAACATCGATCAGCTGCCTCTTGAACACCCCCTACTAGGGATGTGCCCCGAAACCAAGTACATGCCCTTGACCGGAATCAAACCTGGGACCCTTCAGTCTGCAGGCCAATGCTCTATCCACCGAGCCAAACTGGTCAGGGCTTCAAAAATATTTTAAACGATTGTGTAGTGTTCCATCCTGTGGACATGTCATAACTTATTCAACCACTCCATCTAGTTAGACATTAAAGACGATATTCCATGTTGGTATAAATGCCACTGTCATGATCAACCTTTTACATCTCTGGCCACATCGCCATCAGTTCCTTAAGATAAATTCCTAGAGGGGCTATGTCTGAGCCACATTGTTTTCCAGAAAGTTGGTACCAGTTTACACCCCTACCAACAGCGTAGGAGAGCTGGCATTCAATATTGAAAGGCATTTCCCTGTGAAGCCTGACTCGGAGGTTCAGACGTGGTCCTTTGGGCCAGAGGGAGACGTGACACATGACATGTGTGCCACTAGGCTCCAGAAGAACAGTGTTGGCTGCAGGATGGAGAATGGACTGGAGGGAGAGAAGTGCAGGCGGAGGCCGGTGTGGGCACTCACACCTTCATGCTAGAAGAGTCACTGACGGCAAAGCAGGGCGGGGGTAGGGAGCAGGGACATCGCTGAGGAGGTGGCCTCAGTTTCTGGCTGAAGAGGGGCGGGGAAGGAAGAGAGAAGCCTGGCCTTGGGGATGCTTGTGAATCCTGGTGGCTGAGAGATGGAAGTGGGGCCCTTGAGAGAGCAGAGGAAAGAGACATTCATGGAAGAAGCACGCTGCCAGGAGATGGTAGTGTGTGACACTGCTTTCTGCCCCCCCCCAGGCCTCGGTTTCCTCATCCCCATAAAAGGTGATGAAAAGCCGAGCACAGAAGGCAGAGGGCCTCCAGGGAAGGAATGCAGTGGCAGCAGCAGGGAGGGGGGAGCAGGCTGGCCCTGGCCTCAGGACTTGGGGGTTTTCTCTGGAGGAAGAACCCCCCCCCCCTCCTGGGTGCTGACTGCGGCACCCCTGCAGGTACAACGCCCAGGAGTACTACGACCGCATCCCTGAGCTTCGCCAGGTCATCGAGCAGCTGAGCAGCGGCTTCTTCTCCCCCAAGCAGCCCGACCTGTTCAAGGACATTGTCAACATGCTCATGCACCACGACCGGTGAGCCAGCCGCTGGGGGCCTGGCAGGGGGCGCTGCTGGGCTGGGCAGGGCTGGGTGTGTGAAGGGGCTGGACGGGGCTCCTGGCAGGTGGGGCCGGCTCCCCGGGGAGCAGCATCCCTCTCCTCCGGGGCCCCCAGGCGTCCACCGGGACAGGATGGGCTGGGCCTTGACCTCAGGGAGCTCCCTGCCTGCCCGTTCCCCTCCAGGTTTAAAGTCTTTGCAGATTATGAAGACTACATTAAATGCCAGGAGAAAGTCAGTGCCCTGTACAAGGTAAGGGGTCCTCTGCCAGGGGCTGGCAGGGCTGGGGGGATCCCGCCGGCAGTGACCCCAGCCTTTCCCTTTGGCCTGTAGAACCCGAGAGAGTGGACGCGGATGGTGATCCGGAACATAGCCACCTCCGGCAAGTTCTCCAGCGACCGCACCATTGCCCAGTATGCCCGGGAGATCTGGGGCGTGGAGCCCTCCCGCCAGCCCCTGCCGGCCCCCGATGATCTGGCCTGAGCCTCCAGACCGGACCCCCAACCTGCCCCCCTGCCCCTGACAGTCTGTTTGCAACCCCTTGGGCCAGCCCCAGCGCCTCACCCGGAGGCTGGGCACTGGAGGTAGATCTGTAAGCCTCTTTCTGCAACCCTCACTCACTCCCAGCCTGAGGTCACACCCTCCATTTTGGCTGAGGACACTGCTCCATCCTGTCTTCCTCGGGCTTCCTGCCCCCTCCTATTTATGGGTCTGACCCACCGTCCGCCCTCCTTCCCCCCCAATAAACTGACTCTCCTTGGGAGCCTCGTTTGCCTCTCTCTCTGGTGGGGGATATTTTTAGCTCTGGGTGGGCCCCGCGGCAGCTGCGCAGTCACCGTGGCTTCCCCCCACCCGCCGCAGGTGCTCCCCTCGGAGGGAGGGGGCGCCCTTGGGGGCCGGGCCTGGGACTCTCCAGCCCTTTCCCCACGTCACCCTCCCCGCCCCTCTTCCCAGGACTGTGTCCATACTAGGGCAGCGGCCTGCCGGCTGGCCGGGGGCGGGGCGCCCGCCGGGTGGGGCCCCCCGGGCCTAGGAGTCGGGGACTCGGGCCGAGGCGGGGCTGGGGAAGATCCCCGCAGTCCGGGTGAAGTCAGGGAGGGGAGGGACCTGCGGAGGTCGGTGCGGTCTGGCTCCGCCCCCGGCCCCGCCCCACTGCGGCGTTGTAGGGTCTCTGAGCCGGGGCTCTGCTTGCACGGAGGCCGGGGAGGTTTTGGGGGGATGCTCACAGGCCGCCCAGGCTGGCCCCTGTCCCCCCACCTCGCTCTGGGGGGACAGGCCAGAGGGGGCTGCTCTAGGCCTCACGTTACCCAGGCTGAGTGGGGGGAGGTCCTGACTCCCGGGCCCCAGTCAGGGGGGGGCCGGCGGCGGAGGCAGTTTGGGGCGGGTGGTTTCAGAGTGTGTGTGTGTGAACCCACAGTCCGGAAACGGTTACCGGTTCCCCTGGGCCCGGCTGGTGGGGACCCCAACCGCCGGCGGCTGCCCCTCCCCAGCGCCCCCTGCCCAGCCTCCGGCTCCGAGCTGCGGAGAGCCCAGCATCTGGCCCCAGGCTTCCGGGGCGCAGGCCCGCCCGTGTGAGCCGGGGCGCCCCCACACCCCCAGACACCGAGGTCTCGCCTCCAGGTAGCGGCGTTTCCTCCCCCGCCCCCAGGCCTCTCCTCCCCAAACGCTGCCGCCCGCGCTGCCCCTCCCCGGCCCGCCGCCGGGCCCCGCGCCCCCATCGCCGCCGCCGGCCGGGCCCCGCGCCCCATCGCCGCCGCCGGCAGGGCCCCGCGCCCCCATCGCCGCCGCCGGCCGGGCCCCGCGCCCCCATCGCCGCCGCCGGCCGGGCCCCGCGCCCCCATCGCCGCCGCCGGCAGGGCCCCGTGGGAACGGTTTGTTTCGAAAACAGGAACCGGGCCGGGGGCTGGGCGGGGCGCCCCTTCCCCACCGCAATCCGCTTCCTGCCCCTCCCGGCTTCCTCTGCCCGCGCGGGCGGGGCGGGGGGCGCGGGCGCGGGGCCGGGGGAGAGGCCCGCTCCGGTCCGCCCCCCGCCCCCCTCCCCCTCCCCCTCCCGCCCTCCGCGCCGCCGGTGGCGCAGCCCCCGCCCGGCCCTGGCGGGGAGGGGTTCACGCCCGGGGACCGCGTGCGGGCGAGGGAGCCCCGGAGGCGGGTGCGGAGTCCCGCGCGGGGCGGGGCGGGCGGGGCGGCGGGGCCGGGGGCGGGGCGGGCGGCGGGGAGCGGAGCGGAGAGCGGGCGGGAGCCGCGGCCGCAGCCGGGCGGGCGGCGGGCGGAGCGCGCGGAGGGGGCGCCTCCCGGCCGGTGCGTCCTCCCGGTCCGGGTCCCACAGTGAGTGGCGCGGGCGGGGCGCCCGGAGGGGCCGGGCTCAGGCCGCGGGCGCGGGGGGCTGGCGGGGGGGCCTGCGGGGGTGTCTGTGGGTGGGGAGCTGCGGGGGTGTCTGTGGGTGGGGAGCCTGCGGAGGGTGCCGGCGGGAGCTGCGGAGAGCGGAGGCGCCGGACACCCGGGAGGGGGCGGCATCGTGGCGCCCGGCCCTCCCAGCCCGGGCTCAGCGTGACCCTCCCCGCGGACACCCCATTTGACATAGGAGGAAACTGAGGCTCCGAGAGGCCGAGAGAATCTCAAGGTCACAGCGAGGAGGGGGCTCTGGGCGGGTCCTGGGGAAAGTCTGACCGAGAACTCCTGGGGGGCCCCAGCCGCGGGGACCAGCCGGGGTGCGGGGCCCTTTCGGAGGCACAAAGCCCGCCGCCCGGAGGCGCTGGGGGTGGAGGTGAGGGTGGCCCGGACCGCAGAGGAAGGGGTGGCGGTGAAATGGGCGTGTGTGCGCCCACGGGGGCGTGTGCATTGTGCACGAGTGTGCATGCGTGTAGGTGCGTGTCTGGCGTGTGCGCACACGTGTGCCCTGTCCGCGCTGAGGTGGCTGCGGAGCTGCCCGGGCGGGGTCTGCATTCTGAGCGGAGGGCTGGGTTTGGCGCCTGAGGGTGTGGGTGCCATTGTGTGCGGGACGCCGAGGACCACAGGCGGCTGCCTGAGGCCCGGGTGCGTGTAAGCGGGGGCGTCCTGCACCCCAATGCGGGTCCCTCGCCTCGGGTGCGGATGAGTGTGTCCCCATGGGTGCGTACGGAGTTGCCGGTGGTGCACACGGTGACGCTCCAGCCCCGCGGCGATGGCGCCCCCTTCTGGGCGTCCTGCTCTGCAGGACGTGCGCTCCCCGCTCCGCCGCGCAGTGTGGGGCGGGCCGGGCTGGGCCCGGGCCCGGAGGAGGGCGGCGGCGGGAAGGCTGAGCCGGACCCCAGGGACCTTCCCGGAGGAGGTGGCCAGGGAGCGTTTCCCAGGCCCGGGCTTCCCGCCTCCGGCCGCGCGGGCTCCCCACCCCGCCCTCGGAATGTCCTCCTCCCCTCCCTCCTCCTCCCGGGGCAGGCCCCTGGGGCCCGCAGCCCGGTCTCCCTCCCGGGAGCCCAGGACGCCTGGGTTCCTATCCCTCCCACCCCAGGAAGAAATTCCTCCGAGGTCCCCTCGGGCTCTGGTTCCCAAAATAACCTGCGGGGGAGGGAGGCGGTGAGGGGAGCGAGAGCGCGCAGACCGGGCGCCGCGGCTGCAGGTGCTCCGGAGGGGAGAGGGCGCGGGGACAGGGGGCGTGGGGGGCACCCAAAGCCCCCGAGTCCCGGCTCGTCCCCATCCCCCGGGAGCCCCTGGGCCCTCTGGCGACGCCGAGGGGGGGCCGGAAGCCTCTGGGCCAGCCCGTGTCCCAACTGGGGCTTGCACCATCCCGGGCCAGCCCGCTTAACCCGGGAGCGGCCGCGGCGGCGACTCCGCCCCCGCCCGGCAGGGGGCGTGCCCGCCCCGCCCCGCCCGCCCCTGCCCACCCGGCTCCCCGGCCGCGCCTCCAGCCGCCCACTCCGCCTCTCCCGGACAGGGGTCCAGTCCGAGCCCGCGGAGGCTCCCGGAGCGGCCATGGCGGGCACCCTGGACCTGGACAAGGGCTGCACGGTGGAGGAGCTGCTGCGCGGCTGCATCGAAGCCTTCGGTGAGTGGCCCGAGCCCCCGGGACCCTGACTCCGGGCCGCTCCCAGGCCAGGCCCCGGCCCTGACCCCCTGGGCTCCGCATCCCGCATCCTCCTCCCGGACAGGCCCATGGCTCAGAAAGAGAAAGTGTTTCCCTCCCTAGCAGGCCGCCTTGAAGGCAGGGGTGCGGGTCCCCAGACTCTGACACTCGGGGTGCGTTATCTGCCCCCCCCACCCCCCCCAGCGCCCTGCCCCCTGGGAATCCGGAGGAACTCTATCTCCGCCTCGGAGCTGTTTCCGGCTGATGCGGGTGGCTTATCTGGCCAAGGGGTGCCCCTTCCCCCAAGCACTCAGGAAGTGACCTCTGGATTCCTGACCCTGGGGAACCCAGGCTCCTTCCGGCCCAGCTGGTTCCCCTCCTGAGGATGGCCCGGTCAGACCTCCCCTCCTCCATCCAGTTCCTCCGATCCTGCCCCGTATCTCTCCCACCCTACCTCCTCCTGCCAACCTCCTCCTGGTCTGGGAATCCTGGGGTGGGGGTGGGGGTGGAGGGAGAAGACACCCCTCTGGCTGAATTGGGGCTCGGAGACCAGGCTGCTGGACAGAGAGTCACCGCTTCTCTCCTCCCCGGAGGCAGACGACTCGGGGAAGGTGCGGGACCCGCAGCTGGTGCGCATGTTCCTCATGATGCACCCCTGGTACATCCCTTCGTCCCAGCTGGCGGCCAAGCTGCTCCACATATATCCTTCCGCTCACCCGCAGCCAGGCCCCAGCCCGCCGGCCACTGCCCGGGGCTTCCCTAGAGGCGGACCGCCAGTCCCGGAGTTCAGGCTTGGCCCAGCCTCCTAAGGCCCGGGCAGTCTGACTGCCCCCCAGCCTGGCCCTGCCTCCCCGCTCCCTGCCGTCTGGGGAGACCTGGCAGCTTGGTCTGCCTCTGCCTCTCCCAGAGACCAGGCCCTGCTCTCAGCTGCCCCCAGAACCTAGCCCCTCCCTCTCACCTCCGCCCCTGCTCGGCGCTCACCCCTCCCTGCAGCCTGTCCAGGGCCTCGGCCTCGGCCGGGGCCTGCCCATCGCTGCTCCAGGTCCCCCCAGCGTTGCTCCTGGAGCCAGGCCGGTCCCCGCCTCCCTTCCTAGACGTAGGCTGCCCTCGGGTTTTCCTTAACTCTCTGTCACCTACCAACAATCCCGGAAGGACAACTCCAGCTCCCTGCAGGTGAAGACATGCCATCTGGTGAGGTGAGTCCTCCCTCCGGGGCACCTTCCCCTCCCGCCCTGCCCCGGGCCGGGCCTGACGCAGGCGGTCACGCAGGTTTGCCCCCGGCTCTGTCCATGGTGGGTGAGCTGCTCCTGCCGGTCCCGGCCTGGGCTTCCTGGTCTCACAGCGGGCGGGGCGGACAGGGCCAGGACAGGGACCCTGGCTTGAAGCTCTATCCCCCTGTCACGGGGAGTTTCAATGCGGGGGGAGGTGGGGAGTGTGGGGTAAGGGCCGCCGTGGGTGACCCCACGCTCCTGCAGGTACTGGATCTCGGCGTTCCCAGCGGAGTTTGACCTGAACCATGAGCTCGCGGAGCAGATCAAGGAGCTGAAGGCGCTGCTGGACCAGGAGGGGAACCGCCGGCACAGCAGCCTCATCGACATCGAGAGCGTGTGCGTGGGGGGGGCTCGGGGGCAGGGCAGGCGCTCGGCACCCCACACGGTCCTCTGTGCTTAATAAATGCCTGTTGAATTGAATGAGTGAGGGTCATGTCCCTCTCTTGCTTACCAGCCGTCTGTGGTTCTCTGTCGCCTTCAAAATGTCTCAGCGGGGAGCTTCCGCCTCCCTCCACACCCCCCACGCGCCCCGGCCTGCAGCCACCGGGGTCCACTCTCCATCCCTGGCCCTGCCTCCTCTCCCAGCGCCATGCCCCGCTCATACTGCTCTCGCATCTCTGTGTTATCACATGTTATCACATGTTATCACATGCAGCTCAGGCGCGGAGTGTCTGTGGGCTGGCCCAGGCTTTTCCGGGCAGGACGTGTTGTTCCCTCTGCTCCCCGTGGCACTTTGCGCGAAGACCCGTACCCGCGCCGCGCTGTTCTGTGTTGTCTGTCTCCGGGCCCGTCGCCCTCAGTGGCCTGTGAGCTCCCCGGGGGCAGGAGCCGTGTCTTGCTCGTCTCTGCCCCCAGCATCCAGCCCCGGGCCTGGCACCGAGCCCGCCTTCCATGTGGGGTGCATGGTGAGGGGGCTTGCAGGAGCTCTAGGGCTGGGACAGTGTGGGGGGCCTCGGTCGGCGTGAGTGGCATGTGTCTGCATGCGTGTGGGGCATCTCCAGCAAAGGGCTCACTGCCCTTGCCCCCCCCCCCCCAGCCCCACCTACAAGTGGCAGCGGCAGGTGACTCAGCGGAACCCGGACGCACAGAAGAAGCGCAAGATGTCCCTGCTGTTTGACCACCTGGAGCCCATGGAGCTGGCGGAGCACCTCACCTACCTGGAGTACCGCTCCTTCAGCAAGATCCTGGTGTGCCCGAGGCCTGGGCAGGGGGGATGCAGGCTGGCACTGGGTCCCAGAGGGGCAGCATCCTTGGGGGAGGTGGGGTCACCACCAGAGGGCACAGGAGGGGCAGAGTGGCCGAAGGGAGGGCCCGCCGGGCACTGAGGCCGCCCCGCCCCCAGTTCCAGGACTATCACAGTTTTGTGACGCACGGCTGCACCGTGGACAACCCCGTGCTGGAGCGATTCATCTCCCTTTTCAACAGCGTCTCCCAGTGGGTGCAGCTCATGATCCTCAGCAAGCCCACCGCCCCCCAGCGGGCCCTGGTCATCACCCACTTCGTCCACGTGGCAGAGGTGCCTGCCGCCGCCCTGTCCCCTCCCTGCCGCCCCAATCGCCAGGAACCGGCTGCCTCCGCTCCAGGAAAGCTAGGCCAGATTCTGGACTCACTCAGTGATGCTCCTCCCCGCCCTGCTTTGTCCCCCAGAAGCTGCTGCAGCTGCAGAACTTCAACACGCTGATGGCGGTGGTCGGGGGCCTGAGCCACAGCTCCATCTCTCGCCTCAAGGAGACCCACAGCCACGTTAGCCCCGAGACCATCAAGGTGCCTGGGCTGGGGGGTCAGGCCGTGAGCTCCGCCTGCCTTCCCAGGCCTGGCTTCCCTGGGAACCCACAGGGCGAGCGCTGGGCACTCCTGCCCTCCTTTGACAGGCGGGGAAACTGAGGCTTGGGGGATCGAATGCTTCTGCCATGTTACACGGTGAACGTGGCAGCACGCCGGCTCACGCGTCTGCCTGGCTCCAAAGCTTGTGTTTTCTCCTCCTTTTCTCCTGCTTCACACACAGGGTGACACGCACATAGAAAAGTATGTAGGACACACGTACACTTCAAAGACAAGTGATACAGGAAGCACCTGGGTAGCCAGCACCCAGGTCAAGAGATAGAACATCCCCAGCCCCCGCAGCTCCCAGCACCTCGGAGCGCCTCTCCCTCCCCAGTGGGGGTGACCAGTGTCCCGGCTTTCCCCATACAGCTTCACTGCTCAGGCACGCCCCCCAAAACCGTGGGCTTTTTGTTGCCTGTTTTTGAACTTCTATACATGGAAGTATGTTGTTTATGTTACTTTACATCGTCTTTCATTCTTACATTCTGTTATGTGGAACACTCGTTCATTCATTTTCATTGCAACACAATATCTAATTGTAAGTTCGCCCCAATGTATGATCTGCTGTGCGGTTGAACATTTGGGGTTTTCCCCGCTCGGACTGTAGGAACCACCCATCCAAGAGCGTTGTTCTAGTTATTCCTGCGCTGCTTTGCCTCTGAGCCTCAGTTTCTCCTCCTGTTAAGTGTTGATGACCTGTGGCCAGGCCTGGTGTGCAGGTGTGGTCCTTGGCAGTGGGTGTTCCCCTGAACTCATGAGCTGTTACCTCTGACCTTCAGGGGCCGAGGGAGCCAGGGCTGGGGGACAGTGAGGGAGAATTCTGCCTTTTCAGCCATCCCTGGCTCAGATCCTCATCCTCTCCCACATTTCTAGGGCTGAGTGGGGGGCGGGGGCAGGGGATGGCTGACCCAGCGATGGCTGTATGTGCGTGACCTCCTGCCCTTTGCCCGCAGCTCTGGGAAGGTCTGACAGAACTGGTGACGGCCACCAGCAACTACGGCAACTACCGGCGGCGGCTGGCGGCCTGCGTGGGCTTCCGCTTCCCCATCCTGGGGGTGCACCTCAAGGACCTGGTGGCCCTGCAGCTGGCACTGCCGGACTGGCTGGACCCAGCCCGGACCCGGCTCAACGGGGCCAAGATGAAGCAGCTCTTCAGCATCCTGGAGGAGCTGGCCATGGTGACCAGCCTCCGGCCGCCGGTGCAGGCGAACCCTGACCTGCTGAGCCTGCTCACGGTGAGGCCGGGCACGGGGCTCGCAGCCACAGCGGCCGGGCCCACACCGCGCAGGCCTGGCTGGGCCCGAGATCCAGCCTGGGCTCCGGCGTGGAGGGAATTCTGAGATGGGCTCAGGCTCCGGACAGGACTGGGGCTGCCCTCGAGGCTGGTGTGTGGCCCTGGGAGGAGTCACCAGCAGTGGGTTGTGTTCAAGATTTGGGGCCAAGGTCCGGCCTGGCTTCTGGCTGAGACCTGGGCAGTGCAGTTTGCTCGAGGTTTAGGGGGAGCGTGGCCCGTGGTCTGTGTGCTGGCCGGCATGTGGCTGTGGGGTGTGTTCTAAGCTGGCCTTGTCCCGAGTCTGTCTCCTGGCCTGGGCTCGGCTGAGCTGGTCTCTGGCGAGCCTGTGGCCTGGGCGGGGGCAGCGGGCTCCGGGGCAGCAGGCCTGTGCTGTGACGGACCCGTGTGTCGCAGGTGTCGCTGGATCAGTATCAGACGGAGGACGAGCTCTACCAGCTGTCCCTGCAGCGGGAGCCGCGCTGCAAGTCGGTGAGGAGTGGACTCTCCTCCGTCCCCTTCCTCCCACACAGCGCCCCCCCTTCCACCCCTTAAGCCCAGGATGTGAGGGCTTTTATTCGGTCAGTTTTCCCAGTGGGCGGGGTTAGGGGGTGTGGGCGGTCCTAGGACAGGCTCACACTGAGGCTCAGACTGAGCAGCGGCCTCACCCCTCCTGCCTGGGGCACAGGCTCCTCACCCCTGGCTTCTCCGCTCCCCTCCCCGGGGCTCTGGGCTCCCTCACCTCTGGCTCTCGCTCAGGCCTGACCATCCCCACAGCCAACCAGCCCCATCAGCTGCACCCCGCCCCCCCGGGCCCCCGTGCTGGAGGAGTGGACCTCGGCGGCCAAGCCCAAGCTGGACCAGGCGCTCGTGGTGGAACACATCGAGAAGATGGTGGAGGTGAGGCCTGGGCGGCAGGCCTGGAGCTTTGCCGGGGCACCGGTCCAGGAACCAGCACCGGTGCCGCGTTCAAGGGCCAGCGCTCACTCTCCGGAAGGCACGGGTTTGGGAGAGGGAGGTGGCGGGCAGACGGACAGCTGCCCACATCTGGACGCCCTTTCACCGGGACGGAGAGTGCAGGCAGGATGGGGCTGCGGGGGCTCTTACTCTCTGTTCTCTGTGTCCTTCTGTGTCCCCAAGTCCGTGTTCCGGAACTTTGACGTCGACGGGGACGGCCACATCTCTCAGGAAGAGTTCCAGATCATCCGTGGGAACTTCCCTTACCTCAGCGCCTTTGGGGACCTCGACCAGAACCAGTGAGGAGGGCCGGGGGTCGGGGAGAGGGAAGGCAGGCCACTTCCCCTTGGGGTTCCGTTTCCTTCTGTGCCATCAGGCCATTGGACCAGACGGTCTTGGCAGAGAAGGCTGCCCCCGTGGGAAGGGACTCTCATTTGGGGTCATAGGGCTCCTGAAAGCAGCCAGGCCTATAGCTCCCCTGTTCAGACAGATGGCGACTCCCCCTGCATCTAACAGAGACGGTGGCCTGGGGACTGTTTCTCCACAAATGCCATTTCATTTGCGGGCTCCCAGCTGGCACGCAGGGTGGGCAGCCTGTTTTAATGAATAGATAAGAAAGGCCTGTAATTAGCACCCACTTGCTTATCAACAACTCACTAGCTGACAATTTGGGCCAACAGCTGGTTGTCTGAGGTAGGTGAAATGTGGCCCCCTGCGACCACAATCCTATCCGCTTTGCTGAACAGATAAAATCCCAATCAAAATTTACAGGTCAAGATATTTTTAAATGTTGATCTGTATTTAAAAACCAGTTGTTTTTTCCCCCCATAATGCAAAAACCCCTGGTTTAAAAAATTCAGGTAGGAAAACAGACTTGTAATAAGCAAAGTGTATTAAGTGAGAAGTGGAAAGTTGCCTTCCTCCTTTCCTATCTGAAGAGGTTATTAGCATAACTTCCTAGTAAGCAAGCCCTTGGCAGGGTTCCTGGTTTGGCAATATGTATATCCTTCCAGTCTTTTTTTTTCTTTCTTTTTTCTTTTTTCCATGCACGTGCAATTTGACAGATTTTGTTTGCCTGAGTTTGTGTCATGGACAAATGGAATTATAGCATAGGTCCAGCCCTGCCCATGGTGTTGGCTGTAACTGTTTTGTTTCTCCACCCAGCGTTGAGCCAGACTTCCGTGTTATCTCCCTGGGTGGGGTGGTGGTGCTGTTTTTCAGGCCACATTTCAGTAAGGATGCAGTCCTCAGGGACCTTGGAGGCCCATCTCCAAGCTGGAGTCCCAGCCTTAGCTCCCCGCCCCCCCCCCCCCTGCAATGCCACGGCCTCGGCCTCCCCCTCCCCTGGTTGGGAATCAAAACCCAGCACCTGGCCCTGGCTGGCTGCCAGCTAGATCCCCAGTAGGGGGCGTGCAGGAGGCAGCTGATTGATGTTTCTCTCCCTCTCCCTTCCTCTCTTTCTCAAATCAATAAAAATATACTTAAACACACACACACACACACACACCGCCGCCACCATCGCCACCACCACCACCAGCAATCACAATAGCACCAGCACCTGGCTCGCCAGGAGGGAGACCAGCCACCCAGAGTCCGGACCCAACTCACTGCCTCAGCTTGTCTCCCTCTTTGGTTCTGGAACTTAGGTGTTTTCTTTCTTTCTTTTTTTTTTTCCTTTCAAACTCACCTATGCATTTAAAGCTATTTTTTATATTTCACCAGCACCTAGATGTTTGTAGCAGTAAGGTTTCCAGGTTGTTGTTTTTTTAATATACTTTATTGATTTTTTACAGAGAGGAAAAGAGAGAGATAAAGAGTTAGAAACATTGATGGGAGAGAAACATCGATCAACTGCCTCTTGAACACCTCCTTCTGGGGATGTGTCCACAACCCAGGTACATGTTCTTGACCCGAATTGAACCTGGGACCTTGCAGTCCGCAGGCCGATGCTCTACCCACTGAACCAAACCAGTTAGGGCAGGTTTTTTTGTTTTTTTGTTTGTTTTGGTCGCTATCTTGGCAGAACTGCATGCCGTGCTTTTTTTTGCTTTTGTTTTCCACGTAAGCCGTTATCGCGGACATCTCTTCCTGCTGCTGCATGCAGGACACGTCCTTCTTTCCGACGGTTCCCGAGTAACGGTGACGCGGCCGGGCATCCTCTCCCTCGCCGTTCTCCCGCTGACGGGTGTGCGGGCGGCGCCCGGTTTCCGCTATTAATGCCTGCGGGCTGCCGGGGACAGGCCACTGTTTCTGTGGGAGAGATTCCTAGAAGAGGGATAATTGAATCCAAAGATATGCACATTCTAAATTAGGAGGGAGGCTGCCAAAGTGACCTCAGGCAAGGTGGTGCCAGCTTGCGCCCTCGGCGGCAGCGGAAGATGCCCATTCCCCAGCTTCCCTGCCAACAGCAGAATCTATAATAAGCCTCACAATGTTGCCCGTCTCATTGGCCAACAGTGTCTTGGTTGAATCTGCATTTCTTTACCACGAGTGGGGGAGGATGTCTCTTCATGTGCGTGTGGGCCACTGGTATTTCTCCTGTGAATCGCCTGTCCGTGGTCTTTGTCCATATCCCACTGGGTCTGTCGGTCTGTTTCCTCGTTGATTTTCCAGAATCTCTGTTAACGGGTATGAACCCTTTGCTGTCGAACATGTTTGCAAATATTTTCTTCCAGTCTGTCATCAGTGTCGTCTTTTCCCGCATAAAAAATTTAAAAAATGTTGTGTGTTCAGTATGTCAGTCTTTTTCTCTGTAGCTTCCTGGATTTGTGGTGTGTGCAGTGAGCCCCTCCCCCCCGTCCAGATTCCAGAAAAGATTCTCTTTAACCTTTTCAGGTTCTCTGATAAGGTTCATTGTTTCACACGGGCGTTCTCAGGTCAGTGGGGTTTGGTTTTCAGACACAGGAGGAGCTAGGAATCCTGGCATCTGTTTCCTCCTAACTGGCCAGTTGTCCCAATGCCCCTGAACTTGAGGGGCCACCCCGACCCCACCAGGGACCCCCAGACCCCATGGGTGGAGATTTGCAGCAAGGACCAGCCTCGGCAGCAGAAACAGCTGGGCGTAGCCTGGGAACCAGTGACACCCCAGACACTGTCCCCAGTGCTTCCTGCGCACTATCTCACTTAATCCCCCCCCCCCCCCGGACCCCCCCTACCCCCCCTGAGATGTGGGAACGACCATTATCCTCATTTAGAGAAGAGGAAGCTGAGGCACAGAGAGCTCTAACCAGCTGGAGGTCACACAGCCAGGAGGTAGTGGAGCCAGATGGGAGTGGAGGCCTGTGGATCTGCAGAGCGCATGCTCACTCTTCCTAACGCGGAGAAAGGGGTTCTGCAGGGAGCCCCGGGGAACGCGAGCACGGGCCACAGCGGTTCCCGCAGGGTGGGGGGCTCCGGGCCCCAGAACTGCTCGGAGGCCTCTTGCTGGTGCCTGCCAGAGCTCAGGGTGGGCGCACAGGCTGATAACGGGGGAGAGAGGCTGTGTGCAGGGGGCAGGGCGGGGTGGCAGCCCCGCTTTCTGGGGGGAGACCCAGAAGGAAACCCGAGGCTGCACAGCTGGTCAGTAGCAGCCGGGACCACTGACGCCGCCCAGCGTCCTTTCTCTGCCCCGCACCAGGGCTCAAACCCAGGCGTTGGGGAGGACCTTCTGTTTGCAGGGGTTTGCCCAGGGGTGGGTGGTTCGGGGAGGGCTCCAACGCAGGTGCTCCCTCCCCGGCAGGGACGGCTGCATCAGCCGGGAGGAGATGATCTCCTACTTCCTCCGCTCCAGCTCCGTGCTGGGCGGCCGCATGGGCTTCGTGCACAACTTCCAGGAGAGCAACTCCCTGCGCCCCGTCGCCTGCCGCCACTGCAAGGCCCTGGTGAGCCCCCGCCCAAGCCACACCCTCCCGCCCCCGCCCCGCCCCCGCCCCGTCCGCCCTGTTCTCCCTCTGGCCCTGCCCCTGCCAGCACCCTCAGCTCTCAGCCCAGGCAAGCCAGCCTCATGAATTTCACCAGCCAAGACCCTAACCTAACCCCAACCCCAACCCCAAACCTAACCCTAACCCTAACCCTAACCCCAACCCCAACCCTAACCCTAACCCTAACCCTAACCCTAACCCCAACCCTAACCCTAACCCTAACCCTAACCCTAACCCTAACCCTAACCCCAACCCCAACCCCAACCCCAACCCTAACCCTAACCCTAACCCTAACCCCAACCCCAACCCCAACCCCAACCCTAACCCAAACCCAAACCCCAACCCCAACCCCAAACCTAACCCTAACCCTAACCCTAACCCCAAACCAAACCCTAACCCTAACCCTAACCCCAACCCTAACACTAACCCCAACCCCAACCCCAACCCTAACCCTAACCCAACCCTAACCCCAACCCTAACACTAACCCCAACCACAACCCTAACCCCAACCCCAACCCCAACCCCAACCCTAATCCCAACCCCAACCCCAACCCTAACCCTAACCCTAACCCTAACCCTAACCCCAACCCCAACCCCAACCCTAACCCTAACCCAACCCTAACCCTAACCCCAACCCTAACCCCAACCCTAACCCTAACCCTAACACTAACCCTAACCCCAACCCCAACCCCAACCCAACCCTAACCCAACCCTAACCCTAACCCAACCCTAACCCTAACCCCAACCCTAACCCTAACCCCAACCCCAACCCTAACCCAACCCTAACCCCAACCCTAACCCCAACCCCAACCCCAACCCCAACCCCAACCCTAACCCCAACCCCAACCCTAACCCCAACCCCAACCCCAACCCCAACCCTAACCCAACCCTAACCCCAACCCTAACCCCAACCCCAACCCTAACCCTAACCTCAACCCTAACCCCAACCCCAACCCCAACCCCAACCCCAACCCTAACCCTAACCCAACCCTAACCCTAACCCCAACCCTAACCCCAACCCTAACCCTAACCCCAACCCTAACACTAACCCTAACCCCAACCCCAACCCCAACCCTAACCCAACCCTAACCCTAACCCAACCCTAATCCTAACCCTAACCCCAACCCCAACCCTAACCCCAACCCCAACCCTAACCCCAACCTCAACCCCAACCCTAACCCAACCCTAACCCTAACCCCAACCCTAACCCTAACCTCAACCCTAACACTAACCCCAACCCCAACCCTAACCCTAACCCAACCCTAACTCTAACCCTTAAGGGCCCAGAGAGGGTCAGGCCCAGGCCCTGCCCCAGAGAAGGAAGAAGAGCCATCACTTATACATACCTCCCCAGCACAGCCCTTCTCCTCTGTTTCAGATCCTGGGCATCTACAAGCAGGGCCTCAAATGCCGAGGTGAGATGGATGGAGGGCTGCTGGGCTGACTCCTGGGAAGAGTGACCCTCTGGGTGGGAACTCTATTTTGGTGGGGCAGTTGCACCGGAGTGAAGTCCCTTGGAGCCAGGGAGGGAATGGTTGTGTGTGAAGGTTTCTGGAGAGGGCAGAGAATGGCGAGCGGGATCAAGAGAGCACGTTGGAAGGAGGCTTCCGTTTTGGTGGGGCCGCTGCTCAGGACCAAAGGGACCTGGGGAGAGGCGCAGGCCTAGGGGTGGGACGGAGGGTGTTCTGACGGATGTCCCGGGCGGCCCCCCCTCTGCCTCCCCCAGCCTGTGGGGTGAACTGCCACAAGCAGTGCAAGGACCGCCTGTCGGTGGAGTGCCGGCGCCGGGCCCAGAGCGTGAGCCTGGAGGGGTGCGCGTCCTCCCCCTCCCCCACGCACACCCACCACCGCACCTTCAGCTTCTCCCTGCCCCGCCCAGGCCGGCGAGGCTCCCGGCCCCCAGGTAAGAAGCGTCTCGCTCTGTGTGGGCCTGTGGAGGGAGGGAGGCAGGGCAGGAGGGAAACCGGTTCAGAGTTTGGTAGGGTGACGAGGAGGGTTGGACTGGTAAGGGTGCCAGGAGGTAGCCAGGGAACCCTTGACCTTCTGAGGCTGAGGAGGAGAGACTTTCACATATAAAGAAGAGTAGAGCCGAAACCGGTGTGGCTCAGCGGCTAGAGCGTTGGCCTGGGGACTGAAGGGTCCCAGGTTCGATTCCGGTCAAGGGCATGTGCCTTGGTTGCGGGCACATCCCCAGTAGGGGTGTGCAAGAGGCAGCTGATTGATGATTCTCTCTCATCGATGTTTCTAGCTCTCTGTCCCTCTCTCTTCCTCTGTGTAAAATATCAATAAAATATATTAAAAAAAAAAAGAAGAAGAAGAAGAAGAGTAGAAATGAAAGAGACTTCAGATTCCAGTCACGCTCTTATTTTGTCAGGGGGATTGGGGATGGATTGGAGAGGGAGTTTATCTGCATTTTCTTGTCTGGCTGCTCTGGACCCATTTTGAGAATTCTAAGCCCCTCACCCCGAAAATCACCCGCAGCTCTCTGGGGGTCTCTGGGGGTTGTAGGTCAGTGTGCTGAATGATCATTCCTCAAAGGATTATTTGGCTGAGAGCAGTCTGAACAGCTGTGTTAAACTGAGGTCCAAAGCCGTTGACCACAACCTTTCGGATCAGCATAAGTCCTCAAAAATAGAAAAGACGAGACCATTTGCATGGGACCCTCCGGAAGTGCTGGTGTCTCCAGTGTGACACACACAAACGGACATTTAAGCAAACTGCCCTGACAGACCTGTGGCCGCGAGGAAGCTTAGCAGAACCTCCAGAAGTGGGCCGTTTGGTGGTTCAGTGAATTGGTTTTTGGTGGGTGGGTCTGCTACCGGACTGGGAAGGGGTCCTCCTGTGAGTGGGGCAGGGGCTGCTGCAGGCACGGGGACCCAGGAGTCGATCCTGTGATGAACTCCCCCCACCCCGGACCCCCCCGCAGAGATCCGGGAAGAGGAGGTACAGACGGTGGAGGACGGAGTGTTTGACATCCACTTGTAGTGATGGTGAGTCCTCCCTCTGCTTCTCCGGAGCCTCCACCCAGGGGCCGGGGGTGGGGGTGGGGTCCGGGATAGGGCGCTCTGGGCCAGGGGGTCTCCTGCTTTGGGGGAAGGATAGTCCTCACCACCTCTGTTTTTCTCTTCCCAGCTGTGACTGGATCAAGCACGCATGCCTGCCTTGGAGCAAAGACCTGGACCGGAGCAGGGAGCCGGGTGCTGGGGCAGCAGGCTGGGCTGGGGGGTGGGGCATGCGGGTGGCATGTGGTTGAGGGCAGGGCCAGGGCTGGTGTCCCTAAGGTTGTACAGACTCTTGTGAATATTTGTATTTTCCAGGAATAAAAAGGCCCGTGTCATGAACCTAGGCCGGCAGAGCCAAGCTCGTGGAGGGGGCGGGACTAGAACGTTGGCGTGGCCCAGTCTGTAGTCAGAGCATCCTGGGAGATCGGAGGTGTCGTGGGTCTGGAATCTTGGGGGGACTAGAAGCCTGGGGAAGAGAACCTTAGGACCAGAACCCCTTGGAACGTAAGCATCTTGGAGGCTCTGACATCTCGAGGAGTCCAGAATCTCTGGCCTAAAACTTGAAACCAGCACTTCTTTGCACCCAGACTCGCTGGGCCCAGTGGTTTTGGGTAGCCAGAGCCGTCAGCCCACATGCCACATTCCCTTGCTCCACAGGTGGCCTTCAGCTCCTGTTTGAGTTCTTCCAGCCGTGGGGAGCTCACCGCAGAGAATCCTGAGTGCCAGCTGCGGGCGGTGGTGGAGGGAGGGGCCTGGGCAGCTTTCCTGCCTGGGGTTGTTGGGGCTGCACTTGGGCTCGCAGCCTGCAGCCTGGTGCTGCTGCCAGCCGGAAGGACAGTGACTTCCAGAGGAAATGCATATTGATCCTGCTCTCAGCCTCCTGTGGCCTCTCCCAACCCAGCTCCTCCCTCTGAGGTTGCAGCTCAGAGGTTTTGGGGGTCAGTACTGCCCCAGGAAGGCCAAGGCCGTTCCACGGCCGGTCTAGGCTGGGGGGTGACCGGGGGTCTTCTAAGGGTTTGAACCTGGGCCAGGAGGCCTCTGGGGTCAGGATGGTCCAGGCGGAGGCCCTGGGAGTGGAGCTGCTTCCCAAACCCCAGCTGGGTGTGCCTCAGGCAGCTGTGCTAGTCCTGGGGCGGAGCCTAGGCACCTGACTCGTACCTGCAGAGCTCAATGTTCGTGGACCAGGCGTGGCCTCGGCCCCCTCCCTCGGGTCCCCTGACCCCACACCCTCTTCCCCCTGGCCTGCTCCTCAGCTGGGTCTCCTTCTCCCACCCTTACTCTTCAGCCCCATGTGGCCCCCGAGCCTTGTCCTCCATTGGGTCCCCCGTGTGTCCCGCCCTTCCCCCTCCGAGGCTGTAATATCCGTTTCACGATTTGGGGGCTGAGTTGCTATAACAACAGACGGTGATTGTGTTGTGAAGAGCAGCTCTCTCCCTGAGCTGCCCGCCTCCCGCGCTGCCTCCATCCCTGCAGGCTGTGGCCTCACCTCCCCAGCCCAGCCTGGCCTCTTCCCAGCCGGCGTGTGCGTGCGTGTGTGCGTGCGCGCGTGTGCGCGCGTGTGTGAATGTGTGTGTGTGAATGTGTGTGTGTGTGCGCGCGCACGCATAACCATGCCCAGGGCCGATCCGCCCGGGAATGTGGATGTACCGTGGGACTGTCTGCTCATGGTTGTATGTGTGAGTCCGGTGTATGCGCTTCACATTGCGTGTGTGCATGTGTGTGCTCAGACATGCATGCTGCATTTGCTGCATTTCCCCTTCACCTTGTGAGCCTACTGGACTTCGCACCAGAGAAGGGCCACAGTGCGGGGAGGGATGGGGGCAATTGGGGAGGGTGTCTTGAGGTGGTGGGTCCCAACTGCAGTAGGTGGTCTGAACCTTGGGCCTTGGGGGAGGCATCCTTGGAGTTGGGGGGAGGGGCAGGGAGGTGCAGCCGCTGTCAGGTGACCTTTCCTGCCCTTGACGGGCAGAGGTGGCCCAGGGAGCTGGGGAGGGGACAGGAGACAAATGCTCATGCTCACTCTTACGTTCTTTATGGCCCTGTCCTGACACCTCCCTGTGCTCTATAAGAGTGAGACATTCTGGGAACCGCTGCACCTGTCTGTCCGTGTACACACAGTGCCTGACTGGATGAGTCTGTGTGTGCGCGCTGCAGGAGGAGGAGGGAGTTGGGTGGGTGGGTGGGGCAGTGGGTTGTGGGGTCAGAGTCCCTGACTCAGCAGTTCCCGTTCTCTGGCTCCTTTAGTGGCCTTGATGGGGCCAGCCTGAGGGTCTCCCCCGGTCTGGCTCAGCAATCTCTCTTCCCAACTCCTAGAAATCACCCCCTGCAGCCTGGGTTACCCCCACCCCTTTACCCCCTGCAGGCTGGGGAGGGAGACCTCGGTAGGTGGGTGTCCTCACTCATCTACGATGTGATTGACTGCTCTGTGCCGAGTACCTGAGGGGGAGGTGAGCCATGGCAGGCCCTCTGTGCACCTGTTCCCGGGTGTGCATTGGCCTCTGAGTGTGCGGGCACCTGTGCGCACAAGTTCGTGCATGCTCTTCGGCAAGCCCGTGCGTCCTATGGGTGAACTACCCTGTGGGTGTCTACCTGTGGGCATTTCTGCAGCTGTCCCCTGTGCTGCTTTGGGAGTGGCTGTGTGCATGTGGGTAGGTGTGCATGGCTGTGAGTGTGTACTGCAGGCCCATGCGTGCATTAATGTTGAATGTGAGTGTGCTTTGCATGTTCCTCTGGCTAAGGAAGCACCAATTACCACTGGCTGTGCAGATCACAGACCCCGCAACCGAAATCAGGATCCTGGAGTGAGCTGGCAGGATGGTCTGGTACACACACACACACACACACACACACACACACACACTGCTTCATTCAAAAACCCACTGTCCAACTTTGTGGTGCACAAAAGGTGCTAGGTCCCCCTTTTATTGGCTGAGTGAGTACTAATACACACATATTAACACACATGCTAATACACACATACTAACACACACATGCCAGTACACACATGCATAGTGATGCGATGCCCTTACCGGAAGAGCTTCACCCCAGCACCACTCTCACTCTGAGGCGCACGGTTGGGAGAACAGAAAAGGGGGCGCTTCAGGGTGACGTGCAGTCGCGTCCCTGCCCTAAAACCTACCCTTACCCCAGTCCAGCGGTGCCAGCTTCACACCCTGGGATTCCCATGAGGCAGGGCTGGGAAACCCCAAGCCCCTGGGTCTGCCCCGCCCCCTCTCGGCCTTTCCCACTCTCACCGCCTGTCCTTCTCCCAGCAAAGACACCGCCTCCTCAGAGCCAGGGCAGCCCGGGCCCTGGGCGGTGGGGGGTGGAGGCCAGGCGAGAGGCTGGAAAAGGCCCCCAGAGCCGCAGGCAGGGCCCCCCTTCCCTAGGCTCCTCCCTAGCACGGGCCGCCCCTGGGCATGGCCAGTAGAGGGCGCCGCGGCCCGGGTCCCACACCGGTTCGGCTCGCTTGGTGCCCCGAGTGGGAGCCCACAGACTCCTCTTCGGCTCGTCCCGCCTCTGGGCGCTGCCCCTGGGGCCCGCCGGCCGGGAATGCGGGACCCGAGGGCCCAGCCCAATGGGCGAGAGGGGAGGGCACTTGGGTTTCCAGAAAAGGCATTGGGATGGGTTGAGCGTCTGCCGGTTTGGGGGCGCGGGCTCCAGGGGTGAAGACCGCGGGCGGCAGGTGGGAGCTCGGATGCCAGGGGCCGGGATGCCTGGGTCCTCCGCGCGGGAGGGGCGTGGGCCCGTGCAGCCGCCGGCCTGGCGGCCTCTGCGCCTTTCCATTGGCTGCGCCGCTCGTCCGTTAGCGCCGCCCGGCCCAATGCGCGCGCGGGGGGCGGGCGCTGGTGCTGATGCTGCCGTCAGTCGGTGTTGCAGGGATGCGGCGGCGGGAGCAGCCGCCCTGACTCGCGGAGCATCCTCCTCCGAGCGGCACCGCGGCGGGCCGGGCGGGGACGCGGCGGGGAGCGAGAGGCTCGAGGCAGCCGACGCCGCCGGCCCCGGTTGTGTCACCCGCCAGAGACGGGGCGGCTCCGGGGTTCTGATCCCCACCCTTCAGTTCCTGGATCCCCCAGACCAGGTACGGGGGGCGGAGGGGGGTGCTGCGGCGGCGGAGATGGGCGGGGGGCGGGAGCCGATCGGCGGAGGGGAGCCATCGGAGGGGCGGGGGAGGCTGGGAGGATAGGTTTGGGGGCGGGGGCGCTGCCGCTGCGAGGCTGGCTGGGTGACAGGAGGCGGGGGACTGGGGGTCGGGGCCTCCCTGAGGAAGGGGCACTGGCCCTGAGCTGGGGTGAACGGAGGTGGGGGAGGAATGGGCAAGGAGACAGGGCTGTGCGGGAGGCTCTGAAGAGGGGGGTCCCCAGTCGGTGCTGGCCCCCAGGTCTGGAGGCAGTGCTCCGCCAGAGGGGCTGGGAGGCTGTTGGGCTCCGAGGGGTCTGCAGGGGAGAAACCAGCCAGGAGCTGAGCTCCGTGGGAGGAGGGGAGGGGGCCGGAGAGGGAGAGAGAGAGAGTAGTGGAGAGGCGAGGAACTGGGGCCAGGCCAAGGGCTTCCTCCTGGGGGGCACCCTGAGGACCAGGCGTTCCTGGGGGATGGGAGCCAAGGAGAGGTTACTGGGAGGGAGCAGAGGGGAAGTGCCAAGGTGTGGAGGCAGAGAGGGGTCTGTGCTGGTGGAGACGGGGGAAAAAGGGGGCTTGAGGAAGAGGAGGGGAAGCTGGTGGGGGAATGGGGTGAGGAGAGGAGACTGGGAAACCCGTAGGAGGGAGCTGCGCTGGGTGGGAGTGCTGGGGCGGTGACTGGGTTATGGTCAGAGTGCTGCAGGGAGGAAGCAGCCGGCCTGGGCTACCCCCACCCCAGAGCGGAGGGGACCTTTCTCAGTCCCAGCCTCCTCCCCGCTGACGGAGACATCTGTCCTGGCTTCTCTGGGCTGGAGTGTGAGCCTTACCCCCTGGAGGGGCCCCAGAAGGCTTCATTGGCTTTGGGGGCTGCTGTCTCCGTGCTCTCAATGCCCCCTGAGTCCCTGCTGAGGGCATTGGGGCTTCCCCGAACCAGCCAGCGCTGGGAGGGGCCGGTCCTTGTGCCTGGAGGTGGACGGGGAAGCCGTCCAGACCCAGAGCGAGGAAAGCAACCTTAGGGGCTGGGTCGTGGCTCTCAGTCCTCTTGGCTGCCGAGGGGCCTTCTGTGCACCTTTGGTTTCATATGTGTGGGGGGTGGGGTGGGCGGGCGGGCGAGGACCTCCCGTTCACTCCCGCCCTCCGTCTTGCCCACCTTCCAGTGTCTGAGCATCCCTTTGGGGGCGGTGGACTGAGGGGTTTGCAGTCTCTGTCTGCTGCCAGGCGGGGAGGAAGGCAGAGGGAGGTCTGCCGGCCTGTCAGCCAGGATGCCTTCTGCTTTGCCGGTGCCTCAGTCACTCCAGTCCCTGCCTCCTGCCTCCAGGCGGGCTGGTGTCAGGCGGTGCTGGATCTTCCGGGGGCAGGGGGGCAGGGTCATTCCCGCCGGAGGAGGTGTTCTCAGACCCACTCTGTCCTCAGAGCCGTAGGGTGGCTGGGATGCCAGCGGGTGGCCCTCCAGGAGCCCAGGCCTGCGCTGGCTTCTCGGCCCGGGCTGAACCCACACTCTGGCCCCCTGAGGGGGGCTGGCCCTGGAGGGACTGCTGGAGACCTGTTCCCTCCAGACTCTGTCTGCCCAGGCCCAGCCGCTCCCTCCGCCCGTCTCTGCCGGCGACACAACCTGACACGGACTCATATGTTCTGTGGTCCCACCCAGACCCACCCCTACACAGGCACACGCACCTGCATACACAATACACCTCCTGGCAGCGTGCCGCCCACTCTCCGCCCAGACAGACTGCCACCTCACAGCTCAGAGACCTCCCCAGGTGCCGGCTGCCATGTACATGCTAGACGCATGGCCCCTACACACTCCCAGAGCCTCAACCCCACACTGCTGGCCTCACTGACACCCCCCCTCCACCCCCCTCCCCAGGCTCCCGCCTCCTCCAGCACACGCAGACTCTTCCACACACACCTTCACTCCCCGGACACGCCCTCCCCTCCCAGACACCCTCCATGCACACCCTCCCACATCCAGCCCTCCCTCCCACGCCCTCACAGGCCGTCAATAGATAACATGTGCCCTCCGGGTCCTAAGCACTTCACGCTAGGCCTTCGGGCACGCGTGTGTGTGCGCACACCGGCACACACGCATGCATGCTGGCAGCCCCGTTACACCTTGGCTCACCCCTAAGCTTCTCTCTCACTCTCATTCTCTCTCCCTCACTTGCTCTCTTATCTTTGTACCTCTGGAAAGCCCCCCGAACCCCAGGCCCTCCCACCCCTCCTGACCACAATCCCTCCTGGTCCAGTCTGCCACCAGCCTCACGGGCCTTCCTCAGCCCTTCCCCTCTCTAGGCGCCCTCCTCAGCACTCACCTCACCCTCAGGGCCTCCCCCCGCCTCGGGCTGACCACGCGGCCCATTCATTCCCCGCTCCGGAGCCCAGCCCCCCACGGGGACACCCCGACTGTGTCTCACAGGCAGCCACGCCTGCTGCTCCATCTGTGGGCGCTCCCTGCCTGGCCTTGTCCGCTCCGGCGGGCCCGGGAACTCCGAGACTCATTCAGCAAAGAATCAGTGCGGGCTGGGCACCTGGGCATTTACAAAGCCACCGCATTTACACCGTGGGGTGGGGTGGGAGCGACGCCCCCCGGGCTCAGCTCTGGCCCCTCAGCAAGCCTCAGTTTCTTCATCTGTAAAATGGGGGTCCTCTATCTACTTCATGGGTTTTTTTTTTGGAAGGGCTAGAGGAGATGATTAGGACAATCAGCACAGTAACAAGTGTACCGGTTGAGAGGGCGCTGTGCTCAGCGCTCAGCGAACTGCGCTTGGCCTCACGCGTTTGTGAGGCACCTGTGAAGCCCGCGGTGAGGAGCCGCTTGTGGCGCCATTGCCATAAGCGTCCACACACATACTGCCGTGGACACCCCGTTTCCAGGCGCATCGTGCTCACCCCCAGGCTTCCCTGAAACCCATCTGTCTCCTCTGCATGGCTGGGCGTCAGAACCCCCTAGCTGTGCCAGCACAGGGGTGGGCACAGGGGGTGGGCACAGCGGTGAGCTCACCCTCCCCACTGCCTCCCCCTCGGCCTCCAGGCAACTGTGTTTCACCCCCCACGCTGCCAAGTCATTCAATCACACCTCGGTCTTCAGCCCACCCATTTCTGCAGCCCACCCACCTGGCAGAGCCTCCTCACGCGCACCTCAGCTGCCACCTCCTGCGCCCCACCCCTTCCCGCTTCTCTTCTTGGACAGAGACCCGCTCAGGGGGACCTGTGCGCCCAGCCGTGCAGCTGGGGAACTCCCGCCATCTTCAGACCCCTCCCTCCGCTCCCCCATCTTCCTGGGCAGGAGGAGGTGCCAGCAAATAGGAGAGGGCCCGGGGAGAAATCTGAATGCCATGCTGCCACTTACAAGCTGTCTGACCTTGGGGGTCCCCTGTGAGGGTCAGTTTCCCCGTCTGTGAAAGGGGCCGCGTAAGACCTGCCTCGCTGACTTCCCTGGCTGGGGTCTGGTGAGAATCAAAGGAAACACGAGACGCACGGAGTTTTGCAAACTGTAAAATGCTGAGATGAGGAGTTTTAAACGTACTCATTAATATAACACATACTTTTCACTTCAGTCCATGCGAGGCACTGTATTAAGTGCTTTGCATATATTCTTAGTTTTGACAACACCATTATTCCCTCTGTTTCACACATGAGAAAACCCAGGACCACAGAAGCTAAGGAACTGGCCCCAGGTCACACAGCTAGACACGGGGAGAACTGCCATTGAACCCAGCTCCAGACTCCGCGCCTCTAACCACTGCACTACCTGTGGACACGCGTGAGGGCTGTCTCTTCTAGGTCCTCAGGGCTGGAAGGAGGGAGGGGACTGTTTGCAGCCTGCCGACCCTGCCGAAGGTTTTAGGGAGGCCAGGGAACCCCCCAAAACACATTGTGAGACTGGAAGGAACCTCTGGGCTTCGCTAGTTGGGTGTCCCCCTTCCGAGTGATTCAGGAGCCCGTCCTGAGCGCCTCTGAGCGGCAGTCATCCTGCCCGGCTCTCACACCCCCGCAGCCAGGGACGCGCCAGCCCCGGGAGGCTGCCTACTCCACTGTTGGCTGCTCCGGATTCCAGCAAGTTTCTCTTTATCTCGAGCCAAAATCTCCCTCCTCGCAACAGCGCCTCTCCCACCTGTCCGCGCTGCCTTCTGGGGCCCCAGAGTGTGTGTAAACCCAGCTCTTCCTCCTGCGCCCGGGGGAGGCCCCTGCTGTCACACTCCCAGCTGGCATGAGCGGGAGCTGGCAGAGGAGAGGACAGCAGAGGGAGGCAGGCATTCCCAGGACTGGAGGTGTGTGTGTGTGTGAGAGTGTGTGTGTGTGTGTGTGTGTGTGAGTGTGTGTGTGAGTGTGTGTGAGTGTGTGTGTGTGAGTGTGTGTGTGTGTGAGTGTGTGTGTGAGTGTGTGTGTGAGTGTGAGTGAGTGTGTGTGTCTGTGAGTATGTGTGTGTGTGAGTGTGTGTGAGTGTGAGTGTGTGTGTGTGAGTGTGTGTGTGTGTGAGTGAGTGTGAGTGTGTGTGAGAGAGTGTGTGTGTGAGTGTGAGTGAGAGAGTGTGTGTGTGAGTGTGTGTGTGTGAGTGAGTGTGTGTGAGTGTGAGAGTGTGAGTGTGTGTGTGTGAGTGTGTGTGTGTGTGAGTGAGTGTGAGTGTGTGTGAGAGAGTGTGTGTGTGAGTGTATGTGTGAGTGCGTGTGTGTGTGTGAGTGTGTGTGTGTGTGTGTGTGAGAGTGAGTGTGGTGTGGATGTGACCCGAGAAGGACGGAGTGGGTGCTGGGAGAAGGCCCCTGGTCAGGGCAAGGGGACTCTCTCGCCCTGGACACGGCACCGTGTGCTCCGTTTGCGCTGGTGGGCACAGCTTAAGGCTTTTGGTCAGACGGGAAGCCCGGGTATGGGAGCGCAGGCGCGTGGGAAGCATCTGGAATGGAAGGCCAGCGGCCTTGGTTTTAGCTTTGCTCTGCTGTATGACCCTGGACAGTCACTGGGCTCCATTTCCACCTTAAAAAAAAAAAAAAAAAGAGAGAGAGAGAGAGAGAGAGAGAGAGAGAGAGAGAGAGAGAGAGGGAGAGAGAGAAGGAGAGAGAGAGAGAGATGCACTCCACGAGCTTAGAGGTCTGTGCCTTCAGGCCTAGGGGCAAACTCAGAGCCTGGCTCATCCGCAGAGGGCAGTGGCCCCGTGAAGGCCCGATCAGAGGGGGGCTCTGAGCCGTCACTGCCTGTGGCCTGTGGCCTGTTCTGGGTAAGGCCACTGCTTACTTGGGCAGATGAATTCATCGTTCTAAGTGCAGGCTCTTTGTCTGTACGCCTGGGGTGACACCCCCACCTCCTGGAACTAGAGGGTTAAACACGCCTCCCGGTCCAGCCTGCACCTGACGCACAGTGCGGAGCCCAAACATTGTAGCCCGGATGGGACAGGGGTGCTGGCCTGGCCGTGCAAGGCGAGCAGGTTGTCAGCCGAGGAGGAGCCAGAAATAATGCAGGAGAGGAGTCAGCGGGGAAGAGAGCAGGACGAGGTCTTGAGAGCAGCCGACTCCCCTCAACCCCACCCGCTCCAGCTCCCATCCCTGCTGGCTCCAGGCTGCTGGGTCCACGTGCGGCAGGGGCGCTGGGAGCTGACCGGGGGCAGAACCCCAGGTTACAACGGAGAGGTCAGCTCCCCAGGGGGCAGCAGCCTGGCCAGCAGTGTGCACGGCAGTGACGTCAGAAGCAGGCAGGATATCCCAAGGCTGCTCCGGCCAGGAGGTGTAGTGTGCACTGGCAGTGGGCGCTGGAGAAGAGGGGGTCTTGGGGAGCAGTGCTTGGACCCTGTGGGTGCATTGCATGAGCCTGGGCGCGGGGCCCTGCACAGCTCCAGTAGACTTGGTAGAGCTGTGCAGGGCAATGGCTCTGAGGCCAGGTGCTGTGGATGGAGCAGGAGCTGCAGAAGGAGGGGCATCAGAGACCAGCAGTGTCCTGGGAGGAAGCATGGCTGTGGGCTGGGTCGGCAGAAACTGGGGCCTGGGGCAAGGGGTGGAGGGAGGGTGAGGACGGTGAGGAGCAGCGGGTGTCCTGGGAGCTGGGTGAGGTGGAAAGGACCCAGGTGTCCTTAGCTCACATTCCCCTTTGGACAGCGCCTGCCTGGCAGGCCTGAAGCCGCCCATGGTCTCTGGAGAGAGGACCGAGGAGGGCCTGGCCTCCAACCGGCCAGCCCTGCAGCCCCCCTGCCCCTGGCACCGAGCCCCGCTGGCCGTGCTGCAGAGCTGCGGGCTGTGGGGAGAATGAGTAATGAGTCTTGAGGGGCTGCAGGCCCAGACCCTGGCTTCCCTCCCAGGGGGCTCCCCTAAGTCGTCTGTCCCCCAAGCTGGCTCACAGACCCGTGCCTGTGCACGGCACCCCCTTCTTCCTCACATGCCACTCCAGATCTTGGCACACACAGACCCGTGGAGTCACCCCCACCTAGACTCACTCATTTGCTGTCAACCTCCCCCCCCAATCAGGTGACATTCTTTCTGGCTCTCAGGACCCAGGCCTGCACCTCCCAGTCTCTGGAGGCCTCTCCCCAATCCTGCACTCTGTCTGTCCCCTGCCAGCTTCCTGATGAGGGCGGCCCTGCCCCCAGGCTTCCAGCAAGCACCCCTCTACAGTCTCCCCAGAAGGTGGGGTTCTCTCACAGAGGGGCTGGGCCAGGAGCAGGGCAGGGTGACTAACACCCCCTCCCTCTCCTGAGCTGAGGGGCGAGTGGACAGCAGCACGGAATCCTATTCCCGCTGCTAGCGGAAATCGATAGCTAATTAATTCCCTCCCCAAAATAGTGTCCAGGAGGTGGGAGCCGGCGGGGCTGGGAGAGGCCGGGCCAGACTGAGACCGAGACCCCAGCAGGGAAGGGAGGGAGGGTGTCACTCAGGAGGGGCTGTGCGTCTGGGGTCACTGAGAAGGGTGTGGCCTTTCCCGCCCCCAAGCCTGAGGGTCCCCCTCCCCTGCCCTGAACTGGAGTGGGGGTACATGTGTGTGGGGGTAAAGGCGTCAATCAGACTGGGAGCAGGTGCTGCATTTAATTTGATTGGCTAATTAGCCCGCGCATGTTAATTACCTCCATTACCCAATGAGCAGAGGCAGTGGCAAAGCTATATATAACCAGGCAGCGAGAGGGAGAGGGGCTGCTTCCGGGACTGCGTCGCAGCCGCTGCCCCTGCCTGGGGACAGCCGGCCCCTGGAGGGGCGCGTGAGCCCCTGTTGGCATTTGTAGGGTTGGGGCTGGGGCAGCGTCAGAAGGAGCCAGATGGAAGGACCTGAGCACTGGGCTTTGGGGGGGTCTATGGGGGATGGCTCCCTAAACACTATCACCGGCTCCTGAAGACTTCCAGCCCCTTCTTCCTTCGGTACACACGTCACTTCAACCACCCTGCCCTCCCCCTCGCTAGGTTATTAGGGAGAACCTAGCTCTCTCTCTTCCTCCATACACCCCAGCTTCCTCCCACATAGCTCTCTGACTCCTCACCACGCCCTTCAACCTGCTCCCTCTCCGTCACCCATCTCCTCTTTGGTTCCCACCTGTCTGAGCTACACCTGTGGTTGCCCTGCCTTTTGTCTCCTTCATGGAGACAGACAGATGTGGATCAGACAGACGTGGATCTAAGTGCCAGGTCCCCGCTGAAGGGCTGTGTGACCTTGGGTAAGTCCCTAGACTTCTCTGTGTGGGCTTCCCCAGCGGTTAATGGGGGTAATGGGACTTCTCAGAGTGACGATGTAAAAGGACATTTGTAAAAATGCCCAGCACCCAGGGCCTTGACAAATGCTGCTTGAATTTGGAATTTAATTTTATCTGTCTCCTCATTCCTTTTCTCCTCACCGGCCGCCTTTCCCCTCCATCACTCTTCTGTCTCCGTCACTGTTCACTCAGTTCCTCTCCCTCCACTTCCCCCTTTTTCCATCTTTCCCTGTCGCTTCCCAAACTCTGGCCCCGCCCTGCTTCTCTCTCAGACTTCTCCCCACCTCCTTCCCTGCCTCCCTCCCCCAAATAAAAATCAATGCAATATTCAGGAGGGTTGTTGGATATAAATAATTACGACTTGGAGTTTAACGAGATGCAAATTCCCCTCCCCTGCGTGGGGTATAAATTGCTCTCTGACAGCCCGTTACAAGGGTAATCATTTCAGAAAGGCAATTTTATGCAAATGAGCCTGCCTGCCTCCTGGTGGCTCCCCCAGCCCTGAATGGGGAGGGGGGGGTGTGTGAAACCGAGAGGGGAAGAGGACCCAGGATTGGGCCAGGTTGAGGCTCAGGACTGGGAGATGGAGGTTGAGGGTGACATATCCAGGTTCATGAAGGATCTGGACTGGTGAGCAGTGTGGTTGGGGGTGGGGGATGGAGAAAAGGAACCAGCCGCCTGTGTCCTTGCCTGGATAGAGGGCTTGGGGCCTGGATGCCTGCGTCCTGGCTGGCTTCTGTCTCTAACCCCTTCCCAGCCATTGATACCATTGACGAATTGACATTTAATTAATCCCAATGAATTATTTAGCCACTTCATTATCCAGCATCAGGAGCTGAGGAGAGGGAGCTGTGGCTGTGGAGGAGCCATGCTCAGGGCTGGGTCGCCGGCAGACAGGAGGCGGGGAGAGGGCTTCTGAGCTGAGCTCCTATGGGCTCCAAGGTGCTACCTGTCCGCACCTCAAGCCACTTAGTGCTCCTGCTCTCCAGGCCAGCGCGGACCCTCCGGTCCTAACGGGAGACCATGTGCGCTTGCTAGTGTGAGGGAAAAGCTGCTAGTGTTGTCTCCCTCGAGCCCCGCATTAACCTTTCCCTTTCTGTCTCCCCGCAGGCATCCCTCCCGCCTCTCCCGTCGGAGCCCGCAGCGGGGGAGGGGCGCCTCCGCCGCGGCTCGGGGAAGCCGGCACCTGGGCCTCCGCGCGCGTCGCCTCCGGGCCAGGCCCATGGCACCGTGAAGCGGCCAGGGAGCCCCGCTCGGCGCGGGGGGCGCCCGGCCCCCTCCCCGCCCCATGCGCCCGCGGCTCTGAAGCCTGAGCGGGGCCGGGGGCCGGGCGGGGCCGGGGCTGCCGGAGGCATGGCGCCCGGGAGCCCGCGGCCGCTGCTGCTGGCGCTGCTGGCGCTGGCGGCGGGCGCGGGCGGCCTGGAGTTCGGCGGCGGCCCCGGGCAGTGGGCGCGCTACGCGCGCTGGGCCGGCGCGGCGGGCAGCGGCGAGCTGAGCTTCAGCCTGCGCACCAACGCCACGCGCGCGCTGCTGCTCTACCTGGACGACGGCGGCGACTGCGACTTCCTGGAGCTGCTGGTGGCGGACGGGCGCCTGCGGCTGCGCTTCACGCTGTCGTGCGCCGAGCCGGCCACGCTGCAGCTGGACACGCCGGTGGCCGACGACCGCTGGCACATGGTGCTGCTCACCCGCGACGCGCGCCGCACGGCGCTGGCGGTGGACGGCGAGGCCCGCGCCGCCGAGGTGCGCTCCAAGCGGCGCGAGATGCAGGTGGCCAGCGACCTGTTCGTGGGCGGCATCCCGCCGGACGTGCGCCTCTCGGCGCTCACGCTCAGCACGGTCAAGTACGAGCCGCCGTTCCGCGGCCTGCTGGCGAACCTGAAGCTGGGCGAGCGGCCCCCCGCGCTGCTGGGCAGCCAGGGCCTGCGCGGCGCCGCCGCCGACCCCCTGTGCGCGCCCGCGCGCAACCCCTGCGCCAACGGCGGCCTCTGCACGGAGCTGGCCCCCGGCGAGGTGGGCTGCGACTGCAGCCACACGGGCTTCGGCGGCAAGTTCTGCAGCGAAGGTGAGCGGGGAGCCGCCGCGGGCGCCCGGGTGCGGGCGGGAGGGCGGGAGGTGCCCGGGGTCCGGCCGGGGAGTGCGCCGCCACGCGGGGGTCGTGAGGCAGAGCCGTGTGAGGACGCCTGTCCCGGGAGACAGTGTGGATAGCTAGTGAGCTCGGAGCGCAGGGGGAGGCGGTGAGAGGAGCGTGGATGGCGTGGGCGGGGCCTCTGAGGGCCTACACCCCCCACTCAGGGGGCCCTGTGGCTCCTTGTGGGTGGCATGTGTGGTCAGGCCCTGGCGAGTGGGGGGAGGGTTAGCGCCCGAGGGCGTGTGGGTCGGGCTGGTGAGGGGGCGTGAGGCGCCCTTGAGGGCTGTGGGCGTGTGTGGGCGGGGCCTCTGCGGGAGTGGGATCAATGTGGGCGGGGCCTCTGAGGGATCGGGTGGGGTCAGTGTGGGCGGGGCCTCTGAGGGAGTGGGAGGGACCTCTGAGGGAGTGGGAGGGGTCAGTGTGAGCGGGGCCTCTGAGGGAGTGAGGGGTCAGTGTGGGCGGGGCCTCTGAGGGATCGGGTGGGGTCAGTGTGGGCGGGGCCTCTGAGATAGAGGGTGGGGTCATGTGGGCGGGGCCTCTGAGGGAGTGGTTTGGTCGGTGTGGGCGGGGCCTCTGAGGGGTCGGGTGGGGTCAGTGTGGGCGGGGCCTCTGCGGCGTGTGGCTGGGGGCCTGTGAGGGAGTCCGGAAGCTGCGGTGGGGTCTGCATGGCTAGGCCTCTGAGGGCTGAGCGGACGACTGGTCGCCAGGGGCGGGATGGGGCCTGCAGGCCTGTGAGGGTCCGCGAAGGACAGGGGCTGGGACCCGCGTTGGGGGGCGTGGTCGGGCCCGGAGGGCGGGGCCGGCGGGAAGCGTGGTCTCCGAGGCTGGGTGGCTGCCGGTGGCTGAGCCCCGGCGTGAGGGCGGCGGGCGAGGGGACGAGGCGCGGGCGGGCGACGGGGCGATTGCTCTACTGGGACGCGGGCTCCAGGACGGTGGGAACCGAGGGCTTCTTCTCCACAGAGTTGGCAGAGCCCCTTCGAAAGCGAAAGAAAAATGCGGGAAAGGGGGGCCGAGGCTTCTCCCGCTCTTGGCTGGGAGATGACGGGCTTGCTGAGGGGCAGAAACATGGCTGGTGGCGTCTCCCGGGAGCTTCTGTTTGCCACATCCAGCCCTGCAGCCGGGCTGTGGAGGAGGCTGGAGTATGGACTCCAATATAGACCCGGATGTGGAATGGGGGCTTGAAAGGAAGGTTTAAGGGGCGGGGGCAGCTTCTGCCAGCTCCCCCAGCTGGAAGGGGCAGAGAGGGCGATGTGAGGGGACTGGGTGGCAGGGCTGCACCAGGCTGGGTGGGCCTTGGTGTCAGGGGGGTGGGGAAGGAGGGACCTGAAGGCTTGTACTCGGGTCTGCCTGGGGAGTGGGGAGAGCGTCCCCATCGCCCTCACCCCTGCTCAGTGCGGCTGTTTCCTGCAGATACGCGCGGACAGGCATGCCTTCCTCTCCCTAGGCACCCCTCGAAGCTGTGGCTGCATAGCGGTTGTGTGTGTCCGCCCAGGAGGGTGTCTCTGGGGAGTGTGTGCACAGGCAGGTGTGTGCCCACAATCCAGGATGGCCCTGGCACTGCTTGGGGGATGGAGCCAAACCCAGCGCAAGCAGTTGTCCGCGTGTGGACAGCCGGGAGGGGCTGAGCCTTGAATTGGGGAAATGGGGACTCCGCCCAGCCCTGTGACTGTGTATCTAGAGCACATGTGTCAAACACAAGGCCCGCGGGCCAAATCCGTCCCGCCAGGCCTTGCAATGTGGCCCGCACCGCGCTGTCATCACTGCACTCCGCTGCGTTTCCATCACAATGACAGTTTATGACTGTTCAGTAAACCTTTCGGCCCTCGATTTAGGCTGGATTTTAGATTTTGGCCCCTTCTCTGATTGAGTTCGACACCCCTAATCTAGAGGAATCCATAAGGAAGGGCTGTGGATGGCTGGTGGGTCATGTGTACAAGGTTGTGGGGTGTATCCTCAGGAACGGTGTTTATGGAGTGAATCTGACACCTTCTCTCCTTCCTCCCAAGGAGCTCAGGTGCTCCCGAAGCTGTGAATGGTGTCTCTGCGTGGCTGCCCGCGCGCCTGGCCGCGAGGAGATGTGTGAACGGGACTGTTTGAACAGTAATGTTTACAGACTGGAGTCCGGTGCCTAGTACAGTGAGGACTACTCACGTGTGAGGGCATGTGCTCGTGTGCAGGTGCCCATGTGCATGTGTTTTAACGTGAGGCCTCGGTAAGGCACCTGGACTCGAGGAATCCTTCTTTCTATGCCCTTTGTGTGGTTCTGGGGTCCCTGTGACCCCTCTCCGTAAAGCCTTCTTAAGAAAATAGGACGAACCACCCTTCCAGCCTGATGGGAGGGAAATCTGAGCCACAGAGGCGCGGGTTGCGGTGACGGGACCGCAGTCTCACTGTGCAGAACTGGGCGTGGGTGTGAGAAACGCGGCCAGTGGCACCCGGGTCCCACAGAGCCCTGGGACCCCATTCTCTGAAAGGACTCCTCGGCCAGCGGCACCAGTGAGCCAAGCAAAGCGTGTGCTTCCCGGCGGGCGAGGGCGGTGTGCTGGGTGTGAGATGCGTGAGAGCACCCGTGCTGAGAGGGACTGTTGTGGGTGTCCTGTGTACATGTGCTGGGCATGTACCGGATGAATGCTTGTGCCAGCTGTGTTGGCGCTGTGAGAGGCGGCTCCGTGTCTGACCCGTTGTGTGTATGTGTGTGTGCTTCATGTGAAAAGGGGAAGGGAGATCCTCTCAGGAGGGAGTCAGACAGCTGGTAGGGGCGGGGCGCCTCCGTGTGTGTAGTATCTGCTGAGTGAGTGGTGCTTTGTCTGTGATAAAAAGGCAGGGAGATCATCCCTGTGTTCCTGGTACCTAATATAGCGCCAGACACTTAGTGGGTGTTTGATAAAGATTTGTGGAGTGAATGGAGAGATATTGCTACGTGCTGGAGAGAATAAGAGCTGGAGGTGAGGCTGTGGATGCACGTGAAAATACGCACGTGTGTACTGTCAGGTGTGAGTGTGCGCGGGCGCCGAGAGGACAAGCACTGTGCCAGCTCCGACCCCGTCCCCACCCTGTGATCCCGTCCCCTCTCCTTACATTTTTGTCCCTTATTTTCTGGGCAGCTTTTGTAACCTACTGTGCTCATTACACTTCTAGTGCATTTTCACCGAGCCAAGGAGGGACGGATCCTCCCCACCCCCCAGGCATCGGGGTTAAGACCCATCGGGGTTAAGCAGGTCTGGCTCCTGATCTCAGACAGAACTCGGGGCTTCCCTGCAAGCTAGAGTTACTTCGTTATTACTTGCTTTGAGTGGTTCTCAACTTTTTCCTAGATTAAGGACATTTAAAAAAGTATTTTATTCAGTTTTTACAGAGAGGAAGGGAGAGAGATAGAGAGTTAGAAACACCAAAGAGAGAGAAACATCGACCAGTTGCCTCCTGCACACCCCCTACTGGGGATGTGCCCGCAACCCAGGTACATGCCCTTGACCCGAATCGAACCTGGGACCTTTCAGTCCGCAGGCCGACGCTCTATCCACTGAGCCAAACTGGTTAGGGCAAGGACATTTTTAAAGTCAGTAATTCACAGTCCCCTTTTCCACGTAGTAGTTATTTTTATGTCTGTTGTGAAAATAGATGACAAAGCTGCCAGCCGTTCAGGAGAGCTTCTGGATGTCTTTGATGTTGTATTTGCGCTGTGGTCCATCGAACACCCTTTAGAAGGAAATAGTTTTAGCTTTGTATGCAAGACACACCCGTCCGCCTTCAGGTATTTGGCTCCCCCTGCCTTCCCAGGCCTGGGCCTCCCCATTGAGTGAGAGTTTCCATGCCAGAAATTTATTTTTCTCCTCTGGGGTGTCTGGCCACAGGGAATGGAGACGGAGCTAAGTATGAGCAGCTGCATGTGTGTTGCTGCAGATTACCCGCCAAAGCTAGGGGAGACAGGAGTTTTGTCGTGGTTTGCGTGTGAACTCCTCCTCATGCTACTTGTGTGTGTAGAGAAAGGGTGCAGGTGTGTGGGAGACTCCCCAGGAGCAGGGGCAGAGGCATGGGACAGTGTCAGGCGTGTACCTTGCTTGGGAGAGAAATAGGTAACGTGCGTGTTGGCAGGGGGTGGATGCGTGTGTCGCACGCGTGTGTTTTGTGAGTTCTTCGGGGATTTCATTCAGCATGTGGTGTTAAGGCCTCCAGGTGGCGGGCCTGAAGGTGTGGCCCGAAGGGGAGTCAGAGATGATGAGACACAGCTAACAACGACCAGAACGGTCCAGTGTGTGGTCACAAGAGCAGATTCTGCAGCCGGACTGCCTGGGCAATGACCTTGGACTTCAACTCTCCCTGTCCTTATCTGTAAAATGGGGACAATAATAGCGCCTCCATTATAGACTTGTGGTGAGGATTACATTAGCTACATCTTGTGACATGCGTGGAATAGTGCCCAGCTTACAGAAAATGCTGGTAAACAGCAGCAAGAGGGCGGCACCAGAGAGGGTACCCAGGAGAGGCAGCGAGGCAGCGTGGCTTCATGATTAGACCACAGACTCCGAGGCTCAGATCTGGGTTTGGACCTGACTTCTCTACCACCACGAAGCCTGTGACAGCAGATGAGCACTGACCTTCACACTGATTTTTTCCTAAGTGGGCATCCCCATGCTGACCTCACAGGTGTGCTGTGGGAATTAGATGAGGTCTGACGCACACTAAGTGGTGAGTAAGTGGCAGTTACTCTTAGAGGCCGAATGCTCTTGGGGTTTTGAGGAACGGGGGAGTTTACCAGTGGGGAGGGTCGGTGATGAAGGGCGTGCTATTTAAGATCGGCCTTGAGAGCCGATTGTATGATTTGGGGAGGCCACTCCAAGCTAAGGAATCAGTGAGGACAAAGGCATGCGAGGCGGGAAGGGTAGGCCTGTCTGCAGAGGGGCACACGGTTGCAGGGAAAATGGTGGCCTCTGAGG